ATGGAACATTCGAGACTTCGAGAATGTTCTCGAATGGGAAATAAGGTGGAACATTCGAGAGACTTCGAGAATGTTCTCGAAAGAATTAGGATGGAATATTCGAGAGACTTCGAGAATGTTCTCGATGGAAATAAGATGGAACATTCGAGAGACTTCGAGGATGCTTATATCTATTTTATACTTGGGTTATACTTATATTATACTTATGTTATACTTATATTATACTTATTTTCTACGCGTTGTTATTAATTATTCTTATTTTATAGTTTTAACTAACAATCGAAATTTTAAAAAGGAGGGTGGGGGCTGGACGTTACACAAGACAATATCGTATTGAGCGGCTTCGCTGTTACGTTAAAGCCCGGTATGTCCTGAACCACATAATGATTATTCCCTAAAATCTTTTTTATTGCGTACGGCCCTACGAATTTTGGGCGCAATTTTGCGCTTTCGCCCGGAGTAGCCTTTGTTTTTCAGATCATGACGTAGTCACCTACGTCATAAACAGTAGCTTTCTTTAGTCTTGTATCTCGATATTTTTTATTATATGCTCGGATCGAATCTGTCGCGTTTCGCGCCGCCTGTCGTGACGCGTCTCTATCTTTCTCCAGGTCTGTATCCTGTCCCACCAGGGCCTTGATGAAACGAGCCAACTCGTGATCGGCATGGCTGCGCTGCTCGAAACCAAATAGCAGCTTCGACGGGCTCGACTTCGTGACTGCGTGGTATGTATTGTTAGTCACTTTTTTCAGTATCTTCGAAAGCTTTTATGCAGTCTTCGGCAAAAGAAAATTTTATATCCTTTTTCAACCAGTTATATAACGGCTTAGCTTTTAAAACAAAATCTTTTATGAATTTTTGGGAATAACTTGCTAATCCTAAAAATCTCTGCACACCATGTACGTTAGATGGTGTTTTATAATTTCTTATCGACTCGGTATGTTTCGGACTCAACTTCATCCCTTTTTCCGACATTATATACCCTAAAAATTCGATCTCTTTCGGCCTTCCAAACGTCGCGAATAAATTTCCATTTATTTTATAATATAACGAACCGTCATTTAGTTCGAACTTATCGTTATCGGCAATTTCTAATTCGTCGCATATTTTTTTAATTTTTGCGTCTGAGAGCTGACGGAATTCGAGCTCCCTTTCTAGCGGCAGTTCATGCACGTACGCTGCGCATCGGCTGAGTGCATCTACATGCGCCATTCGTGTGCCCGGTCGGTGTGACACTAAGAAACTATAATTCTGCACTTCGTAATCGTCATCGACTGGTACGATTTTCTTTTTCTCTATTTTATTTAATAAACTAAACAATTCGTTTTTTGTTTCTAAATCTAAGCTACTAATATCTAACTCAAAATCTTTTTCTAGATTAACGGCATTCTCTTTATCTACATATAACGGCAGTTGCTCAAACAAACTAACCATAGACTTATATAAATAGACCCAGCGTTCTGTGAGAGGAGTTGTCCGCGTCTTACTAAAGGCAAGAATGATACGCAGTAAGGTGCTGTCTCCGTCACTTGCTTGGTCTGGGAGGGGAAC